GGGAAAATGGGTCAATAGCGCCGTCGTAAAGTACGTGGAGGTGGCTTTCAAGTCTATTAAAAAGATGTTAAACACACAAAGCAACAGCAAAGGTGGCAAAACTAAAGAGAGGAAAAAAGAAGACGACTAACATGGTGAGGCTAAAAAGAGGAGTTTGTGGAAACATTAAGAGAAATGTATCGGGAGTTATCGATAATAAAAATTCATATATTATAAATAAAAAAAAAGTATGGTATTCTGTTATCAATATTAATTGTATAAAAATTATGCGTTATTTGAGCGGTTATTTAGGAAAATCGAAAATATTATTCATGATCATATGATTTCAAAATACGTTTCTAGATAGTTTAGAAACAGGCTGCTCGATAAATCATATGTAAAAATCGCTATAAATCCACCCTAATCTACTTAAAATAAATATAAATATTTTTCACATTAACCACTGATAGTGATAAAATTTTTCTATTTTTATAAATTTGTTATCCAAAAAAAAAAAAAAAATATATATTTTTTTTAAATTTCAATACAATTTTTTTTTTATAAATCTTTATCATAAAAGATCATCAGAAGCCAGCTGCTTAGCGACTTTATTGCACTCTCTTAATGCGCCTATGTCGTCTAACCCTTTATTATTGTTATTATAATTTTATTATTACAACTTCTATGACTACTGGCAGATGTTTTCCTAATGTCTGAGCAACGTGGTTGAGCATCAACTTATTGTTGAATCGAAAAACCGTAAATAAAATGAGGCTGTAAGTCATAAAGCGCAACAACCCGCGGCCTGAGCTATAAACAATGATTGGTGATTCTCTGGTGGAATGGGTAATTAAAAGCGGTGAGCGTTTGTTGCTTTGCTTGTTTTAATTCTTAAACACATTTTATGTGAAAACTTTATATTTATTGTTTTTGTTCGGCTTTCTTCATATTCTTTCTAATCGATTTTAATTTCTTTCTCGCATTCCTCCGAAGGCTTGTGGGTTATGTGAAAGTCCGCCATTTGCCGGTCATAACTCAATTTACAACTACAAATAAATTAATGAGCGACTAAATAACGGAAAATGTCTAGAAATCGTACAAGGCTAATATACATATGTTAGTACATAAATACAAACATATACATATACACACAAGCGCGCGACCGAGCGACCAAGTGACTGAATGAAGATTTCACCTGAAGACCGTTAAAATATTTCAAATTCTACTTACGGCAGGCGTAAACGCCGCACAGCCAAACAGTCAAAGGGCGGCTGCAATGGATACCGCAACAGCAATAACAACAACTAGTATTAATAGTCGCTTGTACGCCTGGGCATTGGTTTGGCGGAAATGAATGAAAATTAGAAGCTTTTGTTTATGATGGAAAATAGTAAATAAATAGTTGGCTAACAACAACAACAATGAGCACATAGCGAGTAGGACTAAATAAATCCTCAGCATTGGCTTAGAAATGGAAAAGCCACAAAACGCCATAAAAACAAACACACACAAATGCATACAAAAAATGCAGACACACATATGTTTGTATGCATATATGCATATTTAAGTGTGTGTGTATATGTGTATGGATATATACATATATATGTATATACAAGTGCATTTGCATGCGTGTTGTACTCGGCGCGCAGGTGAATAGGCGTTGCAGCCTTTCAAAAGGTGCGCTGACCCTGCGAGGCGTGCAACCACAATCTCACACTCGACCGCCGCCGGCACACCGCCACCGCCACAGCCGGCAGTTTGCTTTGTGGCTCGCTGCACTGGAGCAAACATATAATGGCTGTCATTTTGATTTGATTTATTTTTGTGGCAATTTTTTTTTTTGCTCGCTCGTTCGCTTTGTTTTTTTGAAATTTATTTTCATTAGTGCATAGTGCATTCCGCAGACAAGTGCGGGCAGACTATTTATTTATTTGAGTGAAGCAATCTGTTTATTTAATTTGAATTTCATATTTATATTGTACATACACACATATTTGTTTTGTATGCCATCCTGTGTTGCCAGATTTGTGCAAATATATATTGTTTGTATTATATATGTAAAGCGAGGTACTTTTTTCAATATAATTTTTTTGGCAGATCACGCGAAGCAAATAAAGCAGCCTTAGCTGAGATTGTACAAGAAAACCGTGGAGCGTCGATTCGGCGACGTTCCCTGCAACTCGGACTAAAGTATGGAAAGACTTGTCGAGTTCTTAAATTAAAAGCGTACAAAAACGCTCTATGGGTTCTTGAGAGTTCGGAAAAGATCCGACGTTTTCGAGCCAAATTTTGTTCATCGATGAGGCCCATTTCTGGCTCAAATGAGTATCTAAACAAGCAAAATTACCGCATTTGGGACGTAGAGAAGAAGAAGTGGTGAGATTCAAAAGCTGCCGAGATAATCAAAGAGATCAAAAAAGAAATGCCAAAAAATGTTCGTTCTCGTGATAATAAATAATACCCATTAAATTTGAAGCTTTTGTGCTTTTCCTTTAAAAAGTAGGGAGCCTCGAACCCTTTAAATAAATTTTCCGTCTTTTGTATTAAAAAAAAAAAAAATGAAATAAAAAATAAATAATTTTAGTGGTTAAATTAAATTATTTTTTTAAAATAAATCTTTTTTTTCGAAAGTAAATAAAATAAAATTTATATTTTTTCGGTATGGTTGTTTAGTTGTGTTTTGTATATGTGGGTCAAAAAAAAACTTTTTTGAATTAAAAAAGAAATAATAAAATAAAATTTATKTTTTAAAATAAAATTTATATATTTTTTTCGTTTTGTTTTTCTTAGGTGTGTAGTAAGGCAGCACAAAAAACCTAATACTATTTTTTCGCTTGATGCTCTGAAAAATAGGTTCTACGTACGACTTACCAAAGTCTCGAAAATATGTCACCCCAATGTCTATCCAGCAGGAGATGAGTATACAAAAAAAAAAAATCAATTCTTAGTTAAATGTTTTTCGCTCAAAATTGTTTCGTTCAAAATTGTGTCATAACACTATTTTCTAAATTTAATAATTTCAATATATTTTCCATACTATTATATCATGCATTAGCATACCAAGTGGCCATGCGCCAACACTTTTGCCTTTGCATTAATTTGCGCCGTTTAAATGAATTGGCGTGAATCAAATGAGTTTTGTTGAATCTTTATAAGTAAATTGACGCAAAAATTTAACACAAATGGCATCAATTGAATTTACGCACAATAAAGTTCGTATTCAATGTCAATGACTAGCAAAGTAAATGCCATGCAGAAAGCAACAATACTGAAAACAACATCATAGCACAATCATAAATTGGCTGTGCGCACACACGCATCTCTTCTATAATTATTGCCATTGTGGCAGAGTCACCCCAATTTCGCAGATTGGGGCTGAGGGCAGAAAATGCAACAGATTTTTCGGCACTAAACAATTTGCAGGCACTTTAAATGAGGCAAATACGCTTAATTAAGTAAAAGAATACATTGACCCTAGCGAAACAGAGCACCCACCACAAGCACAACTGAGCCACCGCTTTGGCAATCTACTGTTGCTGTGACTAATGACAGCTGATAGTGATTTGTCAAATTTGAGAGAACAACAAAAAAAATGCCAAAAACTAGATGAACTGTCAAAGCAAAATTGCCATAGAAATTGACAATAATGACAAAGCGCAAATAAAATAAAATAAATATAAATAAAATCCAGTATTGTGGCTTAATTTGTAATTTTTGTGGCTTAGCCGAGTGTGTGTGTGTAGTTGGAGCGGACGAAAAGTCTGTGTTGAGGGTTGCGTGTTGAACGTAGTGTGTGTATTTTTTGTTGCTGGTACTAGCGGTGTTATATGTCTACCACGTATCTTAGTGTTGGTGTTAATGGTGTCAGTGGGTACATAAAAATACCCCAACGTCAGTTACAGTTATACATATATACACACGCTATCAAACCGCTTTATTTAGAAAACCGCCAGAAAAATGCCGAAGGAAAATCAATTTGTTTTTATTGCCCGTAACGCCAAAAGCGTGTCAAGGGTCACTCGAGTCGAGCCGGTACCGACAAATGCAACTCTCACATATACTCTAACATACGTGCATACACACTACCATACTTGCATACATACACACTACCACACTCACATACATACAAACACATGTCAGCTACAGACCACTAGCAAGTCCACACGTCGAAGCAGGAAGCATGAGTAGGCGGAAACTGCATATGAGTGTGTGTGAAATTCAATAACACTGCGTCAGTGCGCATTTCTGCCTCTAATATGCGGCACATTAATGGATAATTCCTTTTAATTTGGCAGCTGGGAAATAATTAACGCAGTGACAAGTTCTTTTGTTTATACCCATTTAAGTATTTATCTATTAAAACACATGTGCATGTGTGAGTAAGTAGCACATTTAGTGCTTACTGCTGCAAATGAGTGAAAAATGCCTGTCACATGCTCTAAGGGGCGCGCTGACAGGTACACCCTCAAGCCACCCTCATTACAAAGGATTTGTTTATTATTGTTTTATGTATTGTTGTATGTTTGATTAGCAAAGATATTCTAGGAATTTCGTGCAAATTCGCAATGTATCGCAAATAATATATGTGCAGTGCCAGGTTGTGGCATTAGTTTTGCTTATCACGCCACATATGTGCAGTTTTTCTATGTCGTTAGTAGTAAGCATATCAAATATATGTGACATCTACATACATATACATATTTTTTATACAATTATATATTTTCCCAAATTGCTTGCTCTCTAACTTTTCGCGTGCATTTATTTATTGCCATCACAGATGTCATGCTCTAGGCTGCCTTTATTCCTATAATTGATTCATTACTCATAGTGCTCTCTCTTTATTGTTTTTCATGACATTGCATCTGACACAAAATTTTATGGTTATTGAATACCTGCTACTTGCATTTTTTTTGTAATTCATGTCTTCCTAATGTATCGTACATTTACTTATAAACGCAATTTATTGCCTCATATTAATAAATTTATATATAATTTATTTATTGTTTGTGTTATTCACTTACCGGCTTGTGCTAACAATGGCAAAAATATGAATGCCACTGCCACTGAGACAGCCAATACGTCGAGCCCCAGTGGACTCGAACCTTTTCTGGTCATCTTGCAATATCCTGGAAATAAAAAATGCAATTTATTAGTGAGTGAGCTGGTTAAAGGTTAAAATAGTAAATGAATATTGGCGTTTAAATTAGCAATTAGTAATTAATTTGTTGTTGACAGGCTATAAAAAAATTGAAAATATTGGGTAGTCGAAAAAGATTTTGCGTATTTTATCAATAAATGTGGTTGTTGTCGTATATATCCAGTCCAGAGAAAATAATGAAAAAATCCGCTATATTTTGAAATTTTTGTATAAAAAAAGTAAAGAATGGCACGCAAGCCACTGGAGATACTTGAGTTCTATAACACAATAAATAACATGCTGACAAAAAAAAAAAAATTAAAAATAACTACGCACTTTCGATCTATAATCAACTGCAAAAGCAAGCAACTATTTTAAATTCATATTTAACCGTTTTATTAATTTTCTAAAGTACTCAACTAAGCCGGTTTGACCCCGAGGTTTATTAATACATACATTTAATTATTAGGTTTTAGACTTTGCTAAAAGCTTTTGTATATCTGCTCTATATTTTGAGTATTCATTTTTATTGTTACATACAACTTTTTGTTCAAGAAATAATTTTTTTTTTTTTTTTGAATAAGAAAAACAACAAAATTCTTAATTTTCATTTCTAATTTGAAAAATCAATCTTGAAAAGATTTTAGAAAATATGTGTTCTCTAGTTTGCTTAAAAAAAATATATATGTGTTAAAAAAATAAAAAAAAAATATTTTAAACACAATTTTTAAAATCATAAATTTTACCTTACATTTTAACGATGATTTTTATAAAAAAAAAAACAATAATTTGCCAAAAGCAAACAGCTTTCTTTAACACACACACTCATAATTATAAAATTTTGAGAAGCTATCGCCAATCACCCCACTTTTGCACAAAATTCGAAATTCCTCAAACTCTGTGCATGCGCTGCCAATTTGCACCCCTGAAAATGCCTGCAAATCCTATTGCCAGCTTAATGCCTGTTGTTTGCTTGCAAAATACGAAAACAAAAGCAATTTAAAATGCAAAAGCAAAACGCAAACTGAAAAGAAAATTCAAACAAAAAAGTGTTGATTGTGGTTTTTAGCTCATTTGTTAAATATTTGCCAATGTACGAGTGTGTTGTGTTTGTTTTTGTTTTTTGTTGTGTAAACAAAACGCGCCGGAAGCGCATTTGACAAGCTTGTAGCGCTTAATGCGCCCTGAAATATGCTTCAGTCTGCACGCTTTGACCCCGCAAGGGTGTTTTGTTTGGCTTTGCTTATGCAACTTTTAATCGATTCGATTTCGTTATTGTTTTCAGTCATTTTTATAAAAAAAAAATAATAATAAATCATTTTGCCATTATTTTTGAATTGGCGATTAAAACATTTTCTCTGCATGCAAACAATGGCAATTGTTGATTAGTTTGTGAAGATTGTTATTGGTATTGCTTGCTTTTAGGGTTACCATCGGGTTATGTGGAAACCACCCTGAGTGATTATACATAGGTTATATGTATGTGCGTAGAAATATTCGAAGTTGATATGATTTTTTGAGTATATAATATTTTTGTTTTGCCTGTAAGGCAGTTATTTGGAAAATATTGCTTATGAGATTCAAATTTTGCACAGAAATGTTATGGAAAAAAAATTTAAATACATATAGCTATCAGAAAAATTCGTCTCGGAAATTTTCATTATTTTCGAACAATTTTTCTCGATACATATATCTTTTTGTTCACAAAACATGCAAAAACAGGTTGAAAGAAAAAGAAAAAAAAACCTTTAAAGCATAAAAATACCCGCTAAACCTTCTAGATGAAAAATGAGGACAAAAAATACATATTTTATAGCACCAACTAATGTGTGTGGGAGGAGTTTATGGAACATTGTTTGCAATATTTCGTTTTAATAAATTCCCCAGAGATGCAACACGTGACTAGTATCAAATTACAATCATATGTAACGGTATAAACACACACTTACATATCTAAATACATACAAACATGTATCAGCAGTGAGTGTGCTGAAGCCGGAGGGTTGTTTTCAACCCGATGTTCGTTTGTAATACCCGCAATTTTTTTGGCATATTTTGTGGCATAGTAAAAATAAAGTGCGATATCTTCTAATATAATTGGCTTCGGTTTGTTGGCTATATTATAACGGCACTTACGGCATTAGAAGTTATTTCTTTAACCATTAAAAGTTTATGAGTTTAAGATGTGTATAAATTACTTTCGTATACTATATACAACCAGCATGGACGTCCATATGTTGGCCGTCTGCTTGTTGGAATATTTTAATGGTAGAAACGGAGTTTGGCAATTGTCGTAAATAGTAAGAGAGTACATGATTTTAACATTTTTTATAAAGAATTTTGCGCTGTATTATAAAGTAAATGTCTTTAAATGCTTAAACTCGAGTTTATTATGGGGGTTTAATGTTAAACACGATTCATAAACTGCGAGTTTAGCATAGCAACTTTTCTGTAATTCATTTAAAATACGTATTATAAAAAAATTATGCTAAGAGATGTTTAAACTCGAGTATATTTCGAGAGTTTAATTCATAAATTTCGATTATACTTTACACAATTTTCTTTAATTTTAATTTCTTTTTAATAATTATATTTTAAGTTCCTTAAACTCGAGTTTATTTTGGAAGTTTAATGTTAAACACGAATCATAAACTCCGAGTTTACCATACCAAATTTATCACCTCAAACACGTTTTTAAGCGAATTAAAAGACAGCGCCTACGCTGGCTAGTTCATGTTGTCCAACACAAAAACACTCCAGCTCTGAAAGTATTCGACGATGTACCCGCCGGGGGAAACAGAGGAAGAGGTGTCTACGCCAATTAAGAAGAAGCTTATTTTTGGTTTTTTATTTGTTTTAAATAAAAAATCTTAAACACAAGTTAATGAAATATAAGAGTTTGAAAGAAATGCCTGCAAGTCAATTCTAAAAAAGTTCAGATAAAGATTTCGGGCCATATTTAGTAAATATGTATCTCTGTCACTGAATTTTTTATTGTATTGTATTAAATGATTGTAACAATCAACTAAAGACCAACTAGTTTGAAACTAGTTAATAACGGAGTAGTTGGCAAATCTATTGTAGGAAATAATTATTTTTTTCTATTTCATTAAACTAGTGGAAGAATATAATCGCGTAAGCTTTGTCTACGCCAATTAAGAAGAAGAAGTGGAAGAAACCTAAAAATACTAGTTTGAAACTATTTAATAATGGAGTAGTTACCAAAACTTTTGTATGGAGTAAATAATTTCTTACTTTATTACATTAAACTAGTCGAACAATTAACTAAAAAGCAACTAGTTTCAAACTAGTTAATAATGGAGTACTTACCAAATCTTTTGTATTAAAAAAATACACTTCTATCTGCACATGTACATACAGAGTGAGTATATGCAGTCAAGCACTAACTTTAACTTCAACAATAATCAACGTAAGTCTCAGCAATTCGTTAAAGTTTGGAATTTGTAATTCAACCCAGTTTATTACCCAGCAGGCTAAGAATCAGTCTGTTCGGTTGCCTACTGTCATCAGTTGTCACCGTTTGACAGATCAATAAAGCCACAAATGAGTTGTTAATAGGCAATAAAAACAAGTGGCAAGAAAAGAAGCCACTCAACAAATTGAAAAATCAAATCAAAAATGTATGTTAATATTTCAAATATAATATGACGAGCAGACTATATGTACCACCTCAGAGCATATCTAATACAACAACAATAACAGTATGCCCAATATAAATAGTAATGATAATAACAGTGGCTGTGTTTACCAAGCAATTGGGAGCGCTTGGAACCAAGACTACACAAGGCAACCAACTGCTTTAGCAGCCAGCGGCAGCACGCGCTCTCAGCAGCTACGGCGGCACCAATTAGCGACTGCCTAGGTCGATAATTCGATTTGTGCCAAATGCAAGTGTAGAAACGTCATTTACAAGCCATAAATTTGTGTGTATGCGTAGTATTCTTGGTGTTTGTGCGCTCCAGGCACAAGCGAGAAAATAGAAATGAAGAAGCCACTACTGTGACTGCCGTCGCGTTGTGTGATGACCTCGGCGCGCAGCGCAGCGCTGTGTAATTGCAAATTGCACCGTTAAGCGACCAAATTATAGACAATAATAAAAAGAAATTGCCACAGCGCAGCATAACAGCGAACGCGCGGCGCGAGTGCGGCAGCAAACGCCAATCATTTCGACTATGTAAAATAGCCGGCGGACGCACAAGCATTGAAGAAGCTGCAGCAGTGGAATGCAAATGCCGCTTTGAGCGTGTGTATGTGTGTCTGCAGTAGAAGAACAAGCTTATCAACAGGCACATAGGCTATAATAGTGCACAAGAACAACACTTCAACCATAGTAGTACACTCGCTGAAGCAGTAAATTGGCAAGGCAAGAGGTTAGGTCAGGCACGCATGCGCAGAACGCTCTGACGGCGTCGCGAAAACCACACATGCAGCAAGTGTGTGGCAGCATTGACAACAAGCTGCGTGGCATAAAAAGCATTTAGTAGCGAAAAACGGCAGCGCGCAATCATCTTCGAATGTTGCCGCATCATGAATGCCACGTTGATTTTGTGGCAATGTGGTTAATTGTAAACTTTCTACACAGTTGGCATCAAAGAAAGCCTATCAGTGATGTGTGTTTGTTAATATGCTTCTTTTTCATTTCCAATTTAGACACTTGTGTTTGGTATCTTAGCCAGCAATTAAGCTTGTTAGATTGTCGCGTTGCCACAGTGAGCTATGAAAAAACTAAAAAAAAAAAAAACAAAACAAAAAAAATAAAATGAATAATGAAAAAATCTACGACTGCGTTTCTTTTGTTTCGCTGCGGTATTAATGCTGGGTAATCATGCGGGCCGCTGTTGATGCTGCATGCCACAGTCTTTATGCCTTTTCGGCTATTAATCGCGCGTGCCATTAAGTGCTGCATTTCGAATACATTGCTTTCTACTTTGATTTCCTGCAGGTTTGTTGTGTTTGTTTTTTATTTTG